CGTTCTGATCTTCATTCATCTCTCGTTCTGATCTTTATTCATCGCTCGTTCTGATCTTCATTCATCTCTCGTTCTGATCTTCATTCTTCTCTCATTCTGATCTTCATTCATCGCTCGTTCTGATCTTCATTCATCGCTCGTTCTCATCTTACATCGTTTACTGTTGCAGTGCGAACGTCGGCTCGGCGGCTAGCTCTCGCTCCAGTTCCCCGAGCGGCAGCTCAGACAAGGAGGAAGCTGCGAGAAAGAAGCCAGCCGGAAAGAAGACTCGCATCATGGTAGCCAGCGAGAGCGGAAGCGAGGCGGAGCACGCTCGCCGAAAGTCGGGCTCCGACTCGGAACGCTCCCGACGGTCCGACAGAGGATCGGCCGGAGCTTCCGGAAGCGATCGACGTTCCGGAAGAGGGTCGGGTTCAGCGAATTCCGGAAGCGAGTCCGAAGCCGGATCCAGGAAGCGTCAGGAAGGCAGGCGCCGATCCGGGAGTGAGGATGAAGGCAAAGTGGGATCTGGGAGTGAGGAGAATTCCCGGCGTGGGTCGGACAGTGAGCGTTCGGGGAACGAGTCGGGTAGTGGTGGCGGTTCGCCGAGAAGGCAGTCGGGGAGCGGGTCTGAAGGAGGAGGAGGAGGAGGAGGAGGAGGAGGCGGAGGAGGAGGAAGATCTGATAGTGGCTCCAGTCGTGCGGGAAGCCCCGGAGGTAGCCCGGCAGGTGCTGCCTCTGGTGGTGCATCGATGAGTGGTTCTGAGAGTGAGTAAGCGGGAGATTGGTACCTTCTGACTGAAACACGATAGTTTTCATCGTATCACGACCTGGTATTTTGGTCGTAACCACAATGCTGATAACTGACTGAACACACCTGTTGTGTAATTTTCATCGACAGCTACTGCAGAGGCCTATATGTACATTCAGGAGTATTTTTCGAGTTATCACGTAACAGTCTCTGTCAGTTAAAATACAGATGGGGAAAAAGCTAGAGTTCTCATGCTTGTTTATCAGGCTGTCATGGATGCTTGCTTGTACAGGTTGATTCAGTAGGTTTTTTGATTTGTATATACGTTGTAAGTGTAACGCAAAAGGCGTCGGTTCTATAGCATGTCCATATAGCATGTCCATCATTATATTCGTCGTGACTGTCTTGTTATTTGGAAGCCATTAATGTAGTGAGCGGGTTGGATGACCTAGTGACCTAGCTCTAACATACATCACAGTACATCCACATCCACATACATGCAGCTTTACGTCAACTCACGAGCTGAAATGTTTTTCGCATAACGATAACTGATTCACAGGCTCCACCTATTTTTTATTCCTCGTAGTGTGTATAGGTATTTTGTAAAAAGCACAAAAAAAAGTTGCAAAAACGCGAGTGATGCCATATGAGCCATATGTGCAATAGCACACATGCTTAGTTTTGAGGAAAAATAAAATCTTACTATAATATCTTGCTAATTTCATTATTTTATTTGCGGCGTCACTTGCGATCTCTAATTAAACATTTCTATCACACACTCAGGTATGTTGGTTACACTATGTCAATAAAGTATATCATGTATGGAGATAATTCTTTGATGACGAGCTAGAGGAGTCGTTTATACGCGCATGTACGAGAATCTGGTTTGTCTTTTTTCTTCGCCGCACCCTAACGATCCACTGGTCATAAGCTGGCTTGTAAAGCAAGTCGATTTTGCCGCGGAACATGTGCGACTGGACAAGCGCGTTGAAACCTATATTGCATGATTTGCTTTGCGGTAATGGTGTGGTAAACTACTACTAAACTATCGGTTGCTGTGCCGGCATATAGGAGCGGGACAGGTTGAGGGATACAGGATCTGCTCACGGCTGCATGGTTGTCATTGCCGTTATATAGTTTCCCAGACTGGTTTATTCCTGCTAATGTCTGCCGTTACTGTTTCCACATCTGTCTCATCAGACTTCGTTTTTTCCAGCATTCTTTCAATTGTCTCGATTCTTCTCCCACTCATTCCCAATCTCGTCATCTTCCTTCTCTTTGCGCGTGTTCTTGATTATGCCCTACCTTCTTACTCCCAAACGTTGTAGTATTTTGGATACTTTCTTATAATATACTTTCTTATCTCTCCTGCTTTCACGCACACAATTTCGTATGTGCTATCCTTATTTGGCAACGTATATTCCGTTCTTCCACCCGTTATCCCGTCTTATCTAGTGTACCTTCTCATCCCTTCTCGTATCTGCATCTTTTGTGATCCCCTTTCCTTCTCATATCTAGTGTACCTTCTCATGGCTTGTCGTATATGTCTTCCATCCTCATCCCTTCGTTTACCTGCTGTCCATCATAATCATCGTATCTATAATGTCTCCTATCTGATGTACCTCATTTCGCTCACCCCATCTTTGTTGTTCATCCTACATCGACGTTATCTTTGTTTTCCTCTGCAGGCCTTTTCGAATATTCTGCCCTTCCTCCCACAGCTTTCTCATATCTGCTGTTTTTAGTCTTCCTTCTCGGCTCTGTTCCTCCCCCAAACACATTTATCGCTGTAGCCCTTCCTCTAAGTCTGTCCGTCTCTCCCGCTACTACCGCGTGTTCGTCGTCTATCGGACCCTATCGCTTTACGAACTTTATTCCCATGCAGACGTTTCCACTGCGCCATGCAAAAACGCCACGTATCGTTCCCGCGCATTTATCACGCGCGTCTGCGATGTGACCATCGCCTTGATGTGCGAGCTAACTCTTAGCTCATCCATCGCGAGAAAGTACAGACTTTTCTTCTTCCGCGATTTAGCAATTAAATCGGTGATTATGAGCGGGATTCACGCCATTAAACCCCACGAACCCATTCTTCCCATCGTAGCGATTTAGACCCCCGCACCGGGTCACTCGCACCGAGCGATTCCGTATCTTATTACAAGCGGCAGCAGCACACACACACACACACACACACACACACACAACGCCCAGCCCTCCATTAATCATTCAGCTCTCACTCATTACGGCGACCGCAGCAGCATCCCTGCCATCACCAGCATCCTTGCCCCCCGGCTGCTGCCCCCTGTACAGTATATACCGAGCAGACCAAAGTTTGCACGCCCGCCCAGTGACACGCCGCCGTGCGCCAGTCTTTTTCGCAAAATTCTCGCACAACTAGGAGATGTCAACGTCGTTGATCGTCGCGTAAGGAAGGTCGTGCTTCTGCTGTGACATTTGCCGCGACAATGGCAGGCGGGTGGACTTTTGGCGCAAGCAGGAGACGATTGTCTAGCGTGCGGACTGAGCGGATAGCAAGGCCTGTGTCGGTGCTGCTCGTCATACTGCATCTGGCGGTGGCAGCAACAATTCCAGCGCAGGAGGGTAAGAAATTCGCGTGGGTTGAATATTTTCACCGGTCAAAACTTCGTTTTTGGACATTATAGTGGTAATATTTCAGCCGTATCTAGAGAGAGTTATATAGACTAACCGTGAATCAAATTACAGATGCAACAACCTAAAATTTAAAAAAATAGATATTTCTATCGCTTGTACACATTTGCTTGCCATGTATTGTAACGCTTACTGTCAGACCTTTGAATAATTTCTGAACCTTACAGTATTTTCTCGTGTGTTTTTTAAATTAATTGTTGTTTGTAATTGTAAAAAGTTAGTTTATGTTAATTTAGCTTGACATTACTTTGTACTAGTAATATATTCCACAAGTAATTACTAAAAATAATTTCTAATTAGCCGTGAAGCCTTTGGATAATGCTACCATTGTCCATGCTACGAACTGACAAAATAATACTGCTGCAGCGCTGCTTATGTTATAAGTGATATTTACGGATATATAATATATATCATAGATAAACCTTTCCACATATCATGTGAATAGGTTTATGATGACGGCGTCATATTTTACATGTATTTATTGGTTCGGTTTCCTACTAATATTTTTGTCACTAAATTTTCAACCAAAACAAAAAACGATATTAAAGCGTCACAACTATGTATGTCTTTTAGGTGGTCGCGGATATCTTTACATTTTCGCATGTAAACTTAACCGCTCATAAAGTATAACAACTTAATTAGACTTCCACCTTAATCGAATTTAATTGAAGGGCCATGTAAGGGGCCTCGCATACGCAGGCGTTGATACAGCTTTATCGTAGATATTATCGCTAAGATATTTTAAGTTAGTGTTCGTTTTTATGCATAATTAAATAGCGACAAGTCATTTTTAACGTTGGATTCGTATTTTTACACGTTTCGCGTAGAATCGGCGCATCGAAACGAGATGATAAGACCTCTACAACTAAACAATACCTTACCTTGAATACATATAACACTACTTCCACAAGCTATCGAATGTCAATGAAATCATTAGCTTCACGTGTAGCGTATTCGCGACGTGTGAACATGTGCGTGCGTGTGCGCGTTCAGTGCGTGCGTGTGCGCGTTCAGTGCGTGCGTGCGTGCGTGCGTGCGTGCGTGTGCGCGTTCAGTGCGTGCGTGCGTGCGTGCGTGTGCGCGTTCAGTGCGTGCGTGTGCGCGTTCAGTGCGTGCGTGCGTGCGTGTGCGCGTTCAGTGCGTGCGTGCGTGCGTGTGCGCGTTCAGTGCGTGTGTGCGTGCGCGCGTGGTACAGGCGGGAGAATGCGTGCGTGCATGCGTGCGTGCATGCGTGTGTGAGTGCGTGCGTACGTGCGTGCGCGTGCGAGTTCAGTGCGTGTGAACTATATATCTTGTCCTGCTCTGTGTCTGCTTCGTGAAGGGTGCATCGTGAAATAATCCAACAGCGATTCTTTGTTTAATTTGTTTTTGCTTTTCCCTGGAGCGTAACCCACTCTCGCGGCGCTGAGGCTGCGTTATACTTTCCCATATACTTTCTCGCGCAGTTTTTACTTTCAGACACCCGCATCAATCCTCTTTGAAGATCTGACGCTTTGATTGCGATAGGTCCGCGACGTTTACAACTTTTTTCCTTGCCGTCGCTTTCTGTGCGGTGGGAACAGGAATCTTAGTTTTACAGAAGCTGTCCCGCGCGCATGATGCCTCGTGAAATTACTCCCGTGCCAACGTAACTATTGGCAATGAGTTCTTACGCACGTAGATGTTGACAAATATCCACGATTCTCTATCGGTTAGAGAAGATTGATTACATATTACACACACGCACACGCACGCGCACACGCACGCGCACACGCACACGCACACGCACGCGCACACCCACGCACGCACGCACGCACGCACGCACGCACAGAGAGAGAGAGAGAAAGAAAGAAAGAAAGAAAAAGAAAGAGAGAGAGAAAGAGATAGATAGATAGAGATTTTCCAACGATCCGATATCTGCACTGACGCCATGCTCTTTCGGACACATTTTGTTTAGATACCACACACCAAGCAGCTCTAAGTAAAAATACATAATATCAGCATAATATCAGGAGTTAATGAAGACAAATTTGTGTTCATTAAGATAAATTAATCTTTAATTTGTCTTTATTAATTCTTCTTAATTTACTTTCTTAATTTATAATTTAATTTCTATATTTAATAATATAATTTAATTTCTTAATTAATCTTAATTAATCTTTAATAATAAATTAATTTAATGAAGACAATTTGTCTTCATTAACTCCTGATAATATATATAAGCACCTCACATGGTGCGTAGTGGTGTCGTAGTAGCTACATACTGAGGCGAATGACATTGACACACAGACACTTCTATGCCATAGCAGCACACTCCTCTATTCACCTTTGTCTGAAATACATCGCGTAGGTGTTTTACGTTCGTCCTCGCCTATTTACAAAAAAGGTTGGGTGCTGCACATCTGTGAATTACTGATGTACGTGGCTATATTGACTGTTTTTACTTCTTAGTATAAAAACAGGACTGATTCATATGTGATGATACATTATGTGCCATTGCAGTAAAGAATCTATATTGGTCAGTACACATGCTCGTTATTGCAGCAATAGGATAAATGTGCTTAGTGCGTGTATATGCGGTATGGAAATATATATACCATGTTAATATAACTGTGCAATGCAGATAATAAAGTATTAGAAAGGCTCTATATTCTGGGGTTCGTCTTCTACTGCTCCTCATGTGAAATGGTCCTGTTCATGAGTGACACATGTCCCTGCATCCCTCCATATTCTCTCTCACCCCCCCCCCTTTTCTCACAAACGGTCGCTGATCCCCCTTTCACTCACACAATTTCTCTCTGTTCTTCTCTCTCACTTGTTCTCTTTCTTTCTCTCTCTCTCGCTCTCTCTCTCTCTCTCTCTCTCTCTCTCTATGTCTTTCCTGTCTGACGCTTTGTTCTCTCTCTCTCTCTCTCTCCCTCCCTCCCTCTCGCGCTCTCTCTCTCTCTCTCTCTCTCTCTCTCTCTCTCTCTCTCTCTCTCTCTCTCTCTCTCTCTCTCTC